AGCCAAATGTAAGCTACTGGTTTGTTAATCATGAAACTTGGTTTCAGAACTTCATTCATCATTGATAACAGATTGCTTCCTCTGAAAAAATGAATAATGTTAATGGAAGATAAAAGTGAAAATTTTCGAGCCCATATCTAAAGAGAAATAAGAGCTTTTGAACGCCTTGCTTTCTAGTTGTTCCCATTAAGCAGCTTGAAAGAATTGGATATTCCAAAGACTGCGTGGCTCGGCCCTTTCGGCCAAACTTTAGTTACTAAAGCGCATCCAGTGAAGATAAACATTCTACTTAAGACTTGCGCTGAGTACACAGTTCTTAGTCTGCACATCCTAAACAGACAGAGGCTGTCAGAGGACAGCGAGAAGAAACCTAACAGGGAAGGATTAAGTATTTAAATGTTCACGTATTGTCACAGCTGCCCAATTTTGCGCACCGACGGTGGGCAATTTAGAAAGTACAGGATTGGATAAATTTAGTGACTGAAAAAAGACTGAGAAAAAGGTCAACAACTAGCTACTGAAAAATACCACTGGGGACTTGAGCTTGTCAGTCTTCCCTACAGATTCTTGCCATCCCCACAGTATCGTTTCTCAGCAGGTCCTTTCAACAGTTGGCACTCACTCTGCCAAGTGTATGTTAAGCTTGTAGGGGAGCAGGTGCTAAAGTGAAACAGCCAATCCCGCCTGCACAGTTCTAGCAAGGGCGGGGAAAGGCTGTTTTGCCCTCTCCTAGCACAGAAACTCTTCCTTTGGCAACTGTTTCAAATGTTTTTAAGAAGGAAGATTTAGAACAACTCTTCAGAAGGTGTATAAACTTTTAAGGGCAAAGGCATGAGCAACTTCAAGCTATAGTAGTCTGGAGATCTATTTCACAGTTGCTTTTTATAGCATCTATGTTTCTTGCACTTCCTGAAAATATTGTTAAATGATGTGATGATAAAATTGTTCTACAAGCTCAGACTGCTAGTATAATTTTAAACTAAGCAAGAATCTCTACCACTGATCTCAATTCAGGAAATCCATGTTCATAAAACATCCATGTCAACACATGACTCTAAAAACATTTATCCTTGAAACAGCTGTTGAAAAGAAACAGAATGCAATTATTTGTCCATAAGTAATCAATTGTTGATTTTCTCTATCTTGTACACAAGTAAAACTATGCATTTACATAAGGCTAAATGTCAGCTGTTATCTGCAGAGCAAAAGAGAAGGGAACTTTGACTATGTTTCCATTACAACTTCCCTGGTGGCAGGGACACTTCAGAGGTACCTGTCCCAGCGGTGAAACATACCAGGTCCAAATGAAGTGCTGCTTATTAAATCTAGATAATTTCTTTGATCCAGCTCAGTGACTGCTTCAGAAACATATGAACTGGCATGAACAACAAAGTTCTGACCTTTGGCAAGGAAGGCAAATCCCTTAGCCAAGTTTTGTGGACAGAGAGCAACCAATCAAGAAAATCTGCAATCATGTTCTCTGATCACAAATAAAGAAAAACAAGTTCCTTGCCAATAACATGGCTCAAACACAATGTGACAAAATACTAAGAATGCAGACATTGCTGTACCATTAAAGTATCTGAGGACAATAAATGCCAGGACAGAATGATTGCTATTTGACCCCATCAAACAGGATCCTGCTAAAAAACCCAACTAACCTATCACCTGAGAGCTTGTATGTTTGCTTCTTTGTATGCAAACTAAACCAAATTGCAACCAATGCCTTCAGGAATTGAAGAAATCCCTTAAGGTTTTATAGGCAAATAAAACACACGTAAAAATAAATTCTGGAGGGTTCACCAACACAGCATACGATACCATTTGTCTGGGGTTGCATCACTGTAGCTTCACTGAGGTCATTTACTTTTGGGGCACGCAATGGCAATCCTGATAGCAATTCACAGTTCACAATTTCTTCATATTTACAGTCACTGTGGAGTATTAAAACCAAAAAATTTAAACAAATTAAACAGGTGCTTCTTCCACACACCAAGCACCTAAATAGGGGGATTAAGTGTACAAAAGATGAGAATTTCTTCAACAAGTCACAAAACATTTAAAAACTTGCTGTAAATTTAAATAACTCGCAATCCCAACAACTTTACTTTCATTACTCTGATTGCCTGGTCCAATCTGATTATGTTCTTAGCTGAGATTATTTTGTCCTAAAGTGTAAACATATGAAATTCAATAAATAACTAGAAAAGGCACCTGTGAACCATTTCTTTTTTTTTTCCCCCACTAGGCTGACAGGAAGACCGAGATGACTTCTGTCACCTTTGAAGAAGCATCTACTTTGCCGTAGTCTGTTATGTAATATCTGCCAAAGAAGTAATCCACAAAGCTTTTGAAATTACATTTGAAGAGCCAACTGTTTTCTTCCTAATAACTGACTACTCAGCAGAAGATCTGAGTGATTTCAAAGGGAACTCCAATTAAAGACTGTTCTGCCTTTAACTATTGCCAAATACGTACATTCCAGATAATTAAAACTACTCAAATGCAATGTTTTCCACAATAAGGTGCACATACAGCTAGCAAAATACTTTGTAATCTCTTTCTTACTTGTAAATAAAAACACAGAAAAAAAATAATCCCCTTTCAAGAGATCTTCCTCCTCCCTTCACTTAAGAATCTTGGTTCAGTACTAAGGACATCTCGGCATGCTTGATGTTTGCAGACAGAAACAGACTTGCTATCCCCCATGAGGGACACATTCTAGCTATTTAATACTTCTCATAGCCAGGATAATTCAAATCTTTCCTAAATTGCAGACTGGTTTACGGTTGGGAACAAAAATCCTATGGCAGAGTAAGCCCAAATTCTTCAATATCAATCTTCATTTTTATTCTAGTCAATGCATTGCATTGGTCTCCAAAGGAAAAAATCTGCAGATGCAGTCACTCAGAGTTATCAAGTTACCACGTAAAACTTTTTAAGCTTCCCTGTGATGTCAGCTTCAGATCTGACAAGACAGGATTTTCATAGCAGCTCACCTTCAAGGTAACAATTTCTGCTCTCTTTTTAATCCTGACACAAAGCTACCTAAAATTTTGCCACAAACCGTAAACTATATAGCTCTACAATCCATTTCTTTTCGAAGTAACAGCATCGCTAAAAGTGCAGTTTGCTAAATAAGGAATGTTTTCTCCTAGATGACACTGCAACAGTAGCATTTTTGAGTTAAACAAGAGAAAAAAGGATTTTTTTGTCCAGCATAATTTATTTATTTGATCGCATAAAGAACTACTTATGCTACTAGGGTAAATTTAAATGGGTATTTTATCAGAAAGAGGAGCTTGCAGCTCTAGTGGACTGATGAAAAGATGCAATGTTCTTCTTTTAACAGACTTCTGGCAAACTTCAAGTCTGTCACAGAAATGTTATTGGTGCTGGTGAAACGCAGTTCCCCGTTCCGTGTCAGCTTAGGCTTCTTGATTATTGTGAAAATGACTCTGAAATATCAGTTATTTCTCTCCTAGCTACTTAAGTATACTTTTTATCTGAAGTCTTACTCTGCTTCATTTCTGGGCTGATGTTGAATGGAAGCTTCTTGGTCTGACACTTTGAAGGTAAGACACAGGCATAAAGTGGATGTATTTTGTCACCAGCCAGAGGACAAAATAACCTCTATCATCCTGTCAGGCTACAGATACACTTGTCTTGTACTCTGCACAGTAAGACTATTATTTCACCTATTTATTTTCTTCATCACAAAGTCACCATAACAGAAAATTTGAATTAATATGCTGATGGTGTTTCAGTAAAATATTGCCTTTCATTTGTACAGTAACTGAGGAACATCACAGGTTACCTGAGGGACAGAGTGTATCTACCTTTTTTCAGCTTCACCCATTTTTTCTTGTTTAACATCAGGAACTCCATCTGCAAACCTGATCTGTGAAGATATTTAAAATGTACTTTCAGATACAGCAAAGCACAAAGCTTCTTACACTTTATACTACAGACTTAAAGATGTTTGTGATCATTGGAAGCTGTGAAAATAGTCTTGACTGTAAAAGCTGCGATTTGGACTGTAGGGTTACTCTTACACCACCTTTTTAAACAGACACACCACCACTATAATCTGTGGTCTTTAAAACAGTTATATTTACTTGGAAAAAAAAGTGATGTGATTGTCTTCTCTCTGCTGCAATTTTTAGGCCCACTGCTCAATTCTAACTGTGCCGGATAGATCCACAGAAATCCTCAAAAGACAATCCATCAGGTTTAATGAAAATTAAAAGCTGGATTGAGGAGAAATCTAAGGCTTTTGCTCTGCTGTGCACCATGGTGTACGGGCAAAAAACTCCCCAAAGACATATAGAAAAAAGACAGCACCTAGCATATTTGCGGGTGAGAATCTGAAAGAATCGATTTATAGGACAAAGTCCTATATATCTGTATTGGGTTGGCTCAGCCGGATTT